CAACAATAAGAGAAGATATTAGTATAAAAGTTGCAATATAAATCATTTTTAATTACAAAATAATAACTAAACAAAGATATGTGAAGGATTATCTTTATAATTTAAATTGCAATATGTAACATAAAAAATCATATGAAATTTTCATTATGTTCATGTTTCTGGAATGGAATTACTTATTCTATTATCTTGCTTTTACGATTACCGATCCATTCCATTTCTTTGTTGTTCCATTCTTTGCAGCCTCACATATCTCAAAAAAGTAATTCGGAAATCCATCATACAATAGAAAATGTTTTATAAACTCCTATAAGGGAAGAAGAAAGATAAGACTAAATGAGTGTATGGTGTTAATCTAATTATGATGTTCTTTCATCTCTATTAGCATGTTTCTAGCTTGTTTGTAGTATTGTCTATAAAATATTGTTGTTATATTTGAAAGTTCATTTTACCCTTTTCATCTTTTTGTGTGTATATTTTAATCTTTCAGGTTTTTTAGAGTATTTGAAGGACCGTTTCTGCTTGGGAGTGGGGTGAAGTCAAGGGCCCTAAAACTAGAGGGTAGTTGTATTTAGAGCCACTTAAATATTGAAGATTTTTGTTGGCATTAATTTCAATAATCATATGTACCTTAGAAGAGATATCATAAGTATAGTTTATTTTTTATAACGTTTTTTGTATTTTTATTAAATGTTGTACAGGTGATGTCTACAGGGTGTTGGTATTTTTTTGTTGGCAAGTTATTACGCTATCTAACACCCCAATAATCTATAATATTTGTATAAGATGGTGACAATTATTATTTTTTATTGCAACTTCTCTTCATATTGATTATCCAATGTGGTCTGAGTTCTGGAATGTTGCCACTGAGAGGATTCCACATTGTGGGGCGTTGGAATTCATTACAGAATGAGGCATGATTTATATGCCTTATTAGGTATTGATGGAAATGTTTAATTCTTGCTCATGTAGATCGATAAGTATTTTACAATATGCTCTTTTAACCTTATATTAAGACATTTTTTGAAAAAAAAAATTGCTTTTAGTATTGAACTTTGAAAGAAAAAAAAAGTTCATATATAGCATCGTACTCTTAAAAAAAATGACTTTTTTGGATTATTTTTAGTTGATATGGAAAGTTACATTTTTTGTATATTGAAGATCATTTAAAGGATTGTTTTATGGAAAAAAATATTCATTAATAACATTAAATTTTGCAAAAAAATTCATTAAAAGCATTGTAGTTTCAAAAATATTCATTGATAGGATTGTTACTTTATTTTTTTTATAACGCCAATTTTTTTATACCTTTATATGTACATTTTTATATGTTCCCCGCGTTTTTACGTGGATCATAATCTAGTTACATATAATATTTAAATGTAATAATTGCAATAAATGTTATAATAAATGTATATCAATTTCATTAATTGACTTTCCTTCTATTTTCAAATTTTCTAAATTAAAACTTCATCAGTTTCCTTTGTTTATTTATCTAAATTATTAGTTTAAATTTAAAAGAGAAAAAAACACTTTAATTTTAATAATTCAATATTTTTCTAATTTTTCTTATAAATTCAAACTTCTCAAATGTTTAGAATTTCATATTTAATTTTTCTTTTGAATGAACCCATGTCTTACATGGTTTTACACCTAGTACATTAGCATAGAAGAATGTAAGGAGAAAACAGGACTAATTTAAGTAGTCACTCATTTCCTCGCACACCAATCTTGACTCCAATCTCCCAATATCTCTTGCTCTCTATATATCTGGATAATATTGCTATTATTGATAGATTTTTCAAAGTACATGGTTACAATATATAAAAGTATGATGCTATAATAAAAATAAACAAATAAAAGTAAGTTGTTATTTCTTGCATTTCTCTCGTTAATAAATGATTTAAAAGTAAAATGTTATAATAGAAAAGATAAAAAGTATAATAGCTATAATTAGGAGAAAAAATGAAAAATACATTGTCATTTCTTGCATTTAGCATTATACATCCTTCTCTAGTATAAACATCCATTACTTACTCCACCAATCTGATTATGAAAATTCATTCATAATTTCGTTAACAAAATCAAACTCTAAGAAAATTCAAAAAAGATTTATTTGAGAATCCATCAAACACAAATAGAAGTTGACATTCAATGGAAAAAGGAAAGGAACCGCATCCTACTCCTAATAAAAGAATCCTTGTTAGCCACGTGTTCATTTAATAAACTTCATTCCCCATCAACTAAAATTACCACTTTACCCTTTTATTCTTTAACCTTAGCAATACCCTTCTTCTCCCTAAATCTCGCTTCCTCACAATACGATATTCAAATTTTCAAATATGAAAATGGCACTGTCCCTAAATCTGGGTACAATCGGCAACCTCACAATACGATATTCAAACTTTCAAATATGAAAATGACACTATCCCCAAATCTGGGTACAATCGGCAACAAACTCTTTTTTCTTCCTTGGTCCATGATATCACATCCTCTTCTTACATCTACCCTCTCTTCGATGCTTAGCTCGCATGAAAATGTTCCACAACTATATTGAACTCGAGATTAAGAGAAATGACATGAAAAGTAAAATGATTCGATTCTGCATTTTTTTTAAAAAGATATTCATGGATGATTTTTCCTGATTTATGTTCCATTATGCCATGTTTATTACTTTATTTGACATTTCACCAACTAATCTACATTTGTTTTGATTTTTGTTCTATGTTCTTGTAAATCAGTTTGGTCAATAGATATGCTAAGCCTCGATTGGTTCTACCCGATTTCAGGTTTATTGAAACGTTTTCTTTCAATTAGACTTAGGGTTTTATTTGATGAATCATGAGTTTTAATCTGTAGGGTTTACTATTGTCAAGATAGCATCATCCCTCTTTGTTTGTAAATTATAGTTATATTTCATAATGCATGTCAACTGTTTGATGATTTGCCCAAATGAAAAACTTTGATATGTATGGTATCACAAAATGTTATATTTGTCTCCTTTAGTGTTTCTTTTTAACCTAGAATACCATGGTAGTTTAGTCTTGCAATTATATTTCGGTTTTGATCTTGGTAAAAAGGTTACGGAAAAGAGAGCCCCTTATGCTACAGATCAAAACCGAAATATAATTGTGAGTTAATACTTCAATTTATGATGTTGTTGGTTGAACCATTATGCTACAGATCAAGCTACTCTGATGGAAACTATGATGTCAAGATGATAATTGAAGGTCCTTTTGGTACCATCAAGAGCAATCTTTCACTTAACCTTGCTGCCAATAACGACATTGGTTGGTAAAAAGTATGAATTAATAGTTTAGCATTAATGATGGTACCAAAAGGACCTTCAATTATCATCTTGTTAGTTAATACTTCAATTTATGATGTTGTTGGTTGAACCATTATGCTACAGATCAAGTTACTCTGATGGAAACTATGATGTCAAGATGATAATTGAAGGTCCTTTTGGTACCATCAAGAGCAATCTTTCACTTAACCTTGCTGCCAATAACGACATTGGTTGGTAAAAAGTATGAATTAATAGTTTAGCATTAATGAAATCCAAGTGTGTGGCTTGTGGATAGAAAAAGGAAAAAAAATAGGAACTCGATGGATGCCTCCTGATTAGTTTCACTATCAAAAAAAGTTGAAGAGGGAAGGTTATATTTGGCACTTTACAAATACTAGATTTGGAAGAATGGAATACTTACATATTTTTTTCAAAAAAGTTGAAGGGCTTTACTAAGGAAGGGCTTTTTGGTCATTTTTTGAAAAATTCAATTGGAAAGTGTTGCATTCACAATTAAAGAGTTGATGGGGTTGGTCTCTTTCTGTTTCCAATTTAATTCAAAGAGTGAAGGATATAATTGGTATTTTATAAACACTAGAGTTGGTGAGACGAAAACTGAAGTAGGATGCTAAAGCTACAATGAAACAAAAGTATAATGTTATTTCTTTAATTAGATTAATAATGGTAAAATGTTCAAAGTAATGAAAATACAATGGAGTTTTGGAATAGTCAAATGCAAGAAAGTACAACGTCGTTTCCTTAGTAAATTTTGTATTGTTCTTTTGTTTGTATAAACAAACGAGTTATAAAGAATGCACAAAATGTTTTGAGACATTAAAGTGCAGTTGAATGCAAAAAGACTGTAACACTAGAGCTAAATCTTGAGTAGTCACTATTGTATTACTTTTTGCTAAGAAACCTGACTAACTGACATATTTAATATTTAGCTCAAGAATTGTATACATGTTCCGAAAGAAATCAAATTTAAGCGCAATTTTTTATAAGCGTTAATAGGAATAAGGACACCAAACTTAGTTTCCATTGTGAAAATGAATATACGTATTTTAGAGCTGACAATGGGTCGATATGGGTTGGATTCGGGTTCAACCTATTATTAATTGGGTTGAAATTTTCAATCAAATCCAATCTATTTATTTAAATGGGTTGATATTTCTGACCCAACCAAACCTTTTAGATAAGTGGGTTGTCATTGGGTTGATCTATTTATGTAGTTTTCGACCCAATATATTAATTAAATGAGTTAAACTTCGATTAACCCATTTAAAATAAAAATAAATAAATAAATTAACTAAAGATTATACTATTTAAATCAATTCCAAATCGTAAATAAATTTTGAAAGTATGACAAAACCACAATCTCAATTCACAAATAAAAAAAAATTGTTCAAATAACTTTAAAATGTTTTATTTCAAAGGATTTTGGAGATTGACCGGTATTGTCGGTGCTAAGAAAAAAATGGTGATATTCAAAAATATGTATATATTAGTTTTAACTAATCATTATAAACTTATTATATAAGGCTTATATCTTTGTAATTTAATAAAATTATGTAAATCTTTCAATCTTTTGTTATCATTTTAAATTATCAATAATTTTTTTTTTACGCGTGTTTCAGTAAGCATAATAAGAAACCCAAAAATTATGGAATAATGATCTTGTGTGCGGAAAGAATATATACCTTTTAAAGATCAAATGACTATTATGCCCTCAATGGCTCAAACTTACCGTTTCTCTTTCTTGTTTCCTGATACGATTCACAGAAACGCCTCCATCACAGTTTCTTCTCCATCTCCCATCTTCTACTATCTACTCTCTAGCCACCGCCGCAACTCTCCGATCTCCGGCGCCACCCCTTCTCGACTTAGCCCTGCTCTACTCAGCTCTCCGATCAGGTAATGAATTTTACTCGACAACGTTTTTAGGGTTCTACAAAATAGTCGACGGATATCACTTTTGCTGAACTGGCCCAGTGGCCCTCAATCTGCAGCTGCTCCGTTGATCTCTTTCCAGAAACGGATCCTTGTTTGGCGGAGACCACTTATCTGAGGTGAGTTTCCCCCCAATCACTGTTTGTTTCTTATTTAAGTAGAAAATGAATTTTGACAATCAATCAATCAAAAGGGATAGTGAGAAGTGAAGCACTTGTAAAAGATTTTTTGTTTTTTTTTTTTTTTGTAAGTTGACCACACTTAATGAAAACATTACCGACTCGTAATTAACTGGTTTTCTGATGTTCAAATTTGCTCCTTGAGTTCATTACAACTGATCCTCGTATATAATGACATCTCCTGTTTCGTTGTGCAATTTTATTGATTTTCAACGAAGTTATTCATAATTTCAGTTTGGATCTCCAAGAATCATGTTTTCTGAATTGGTTTTCACTTTTCAAGCAAGCACCTTGGAATAACAAATCAAGAATCTTTTTTTTTTTGCCCACTATGTGTTTGTTAAAATGCCAAAAACAGATTTTCACATGTTACAACCATATTTTTAACCCTATACAAATTGTTTAACTTAACTCGATACAAAATCAAGCTTTTAAATGTGCAAAAGTTCATATCGACTCTATGTCTCCCAGACAAAGCCGGCCATGGTCAAACCAAATTGGCACAACCAGAGCTTCTTTCTCCTATCAACATGTACACTCATCTTCATATCTCTCCTCCCACTAACAACACAACAAGCAGTAGCACCTGAAGCCGCTGAAACATCCATCACCCGTTTCCAACAATACTTGAGAATAAAAACAGCTCACCCAAACCCAGACTACTCCACTGCAGTTTCCTTCCTCAATGTCTTAGCCAAATCCATCCCCAACCTCATAACCAAAACCCTATACCTAACCACACCACAAAAACCTCTCCTTCTTGTCACTTTCTTAGGCTCAAACCCTAATCTCCCATCCATCCTCTTCAACTCCCACCTTGACTCAGTCCCTGCTGAACCCTCAAAGTGGGTCCACCCACCTTTCTCTGCTATCAAATCCGATGATGGGAAAATCTTTGCTCGAGGTGCCCAAGATGACAAATGTATTGCTATCCAATACCTAGAAGCTCTCAGAAACATCATAAAAAGAGACCCTGAGTTCAAACCGATTAGAACACTTCATATATGTTATGTCCCTGATGAGGAAATCGGTGGGTTTGATGGGATGCAAAAGTTTGTGGAATCAAAAGAGTTCAAAGACCTGAATGTCGGGTTCTTTCTAGATGAAGGACAAGCTTCAACTACGAATAAATATCGTGTGTTTTATGCTGATAGATCTCCTTGGAATCTTGTTATCAAGGCTGTTGGGAAACCAGGACATGGATCAAAGATGTTTGATGACACTGCAATGGAGAATTTGATGAAGAGCATCGAGGTCGTGTCAAGATTCAGGGAGAATCAGTTTGATTTGGTGAAAACCGGGGTTTTAGCAAACTCCGAGGTTGTTTCTGCAAATCCGGTTTATTTAAAAGCGGGAACTCCTTCTAAAAATGGAAACTTTGTGATGAACATGCAACCTTCTGAGGCGGAAGTAGGTTATGATGTGAGGTTGCCACCAACTGTTGATCCGGATCTTTTGAAGAAGCGGATTGCTGAAGAATGGGCACCTAAAACAAGGAACATGAGTTATCATATTGTGGAGAAAGGACCATTGAGAGATTATATGGGGAGACCTTTGATGACTGCAACTAACGATTCGAATCCATGGTGGAATGTTTTTAAGGATGCTGTTGAAGCATGTGGTGGGGAGCTTGAAAAGCCTGAGATTTTATCTTCTACTACTGATGCTAGATATATGAGGCAACTTGGGATCCCGACTTTTGGATTTTCACCTATGAAGAACACCCAAATTTTGCTTCATGATCATAATGAGTATTTGGAGGATACGGTGTTTTTAGAGGGTATTAAGGTATATGAATCCATCATTAAGTCATTGAGTTCCTTTGAGGGGTGACACCTTAATACATATACTAGGCTGAATAATAGTGGGGCAAGGTTGTTTCCACCATGTGATCAGAATCTACCATCATCTTGATTACTTGTGTATTTATACATAGTGTCATTTCCCTGAATTTTATATCTCATTGTTGTATACTAACTATTTGATACTTTGTTTCAATAAGATAGTTAATGGTTGTGTTGTTGCTGAACGTTAAGATTAAAGCTGTTGGGATCTTATGTCAGATCCATATTATTACTTTAGCAATCTAAACGTTATCTGAAGAGATATCAAACATTTGGTCTCATAAACTAGTGTTAAAACCCAACAACAAAACATATAGCACACTAGAATATGAAAACACGATAAAATGACTAATAGTGAGAGCAACACATGCCAAGGCATAGCAAATGTACATGACAAAAAAAAAAAGTAATAACTTAGGAGACACGAGCATTTTACATGGTTCCACCATTCGGGAGATGGTGCATATCACAAGGAGAAACATATGACTTATATTATTAATCAACAATCAAAAAGGTTTACAAATCACTTTCAAGTGACCAAAATAAAGATACAAAACCCTTCATCTTCAAAAAAAAAAAATCGCCAATGAGGAAAAACACCAAGATATATGTCAAAAAAAATAACCCAAAAATGCCTTAAATCGGCCAAACAAAAGCTCAATGCTAGATCAAGTCATAAAACCAAGTAACCTTGAAGGGCCAATTTGCTAGATCAACTAACAGAAGTCAAATGGAAAATCAACAATTCAATGTCAGTTCAAAGGCTAGATCAGCTAGTAGCAAAAGTAACATAACTTAAATTCTCCTCTTACTTTCGGTGACACTCAAATTTGTTAACAATTGTGAATAGAAAGCAGTACGTATCATCAAAAACAACAATTTCGTGATGGAAGCCTTATCAAATAAACTTAACTCCACATTTTTAGGACAAAAGAAACACGTCAAATAATCTTTTAATTTTCAAATATATCATAAGGCGAATGTATGTATTTGTTTTCTTAGTTGTTTTTTATTATTCCAAATGTTGGAATCCTAAGTCGAGTAGGATTTGGAGACCAAGTTATAACGAGACTTTAGCAAGTTGGTTTTAGAGTCCTAATACAATTCTAATTACAAGTCGGTAGATTAGAATCTATATATACATCTTGTTTAGCTGTGTAGGGTTAAGAGAGAGTGTATTCACAAATTGAGTATTGAGTTATTTTCTCATTTAATCAAAGAGATAGTTTGATTAATTGTTTGTGTTATTCATTCTTGACTTTAATTGGTATCAGAGCCAATACCAGAAGGCTTTGAAATCGAATTCTTACATGTTGACGAGCTGGTCAACATGTCAGATACAGGGGAGATGGAGAAGCTCCGGTGAGGATGAAGGAGATTGGATCAACCTCTATTCAGTGTCCTATGCTCACATCAACAAATTACACGGTGTGGTCAATGAGAATGAAGGTAGTATTAAAGATTCACAAGGCTTTGGAGATAACCGAACCAGGAACTACAAAAAATCAAGACAAAGATGATTTAGCAATAGGTTTAATTTACCAATCGATACCTCTCATAATCCAAATCGGTGAACAAGAATCTTCCAAGGGACTTTGGGAAGCAATCAAATCAAGGCATATGGGGGTTGACCGTGTGAAGGAGGCACGATTACAGACTTTAATGTCTGATTTTGATCGATTCAAGATGACTGACTCGGAGTCGATCGACTATGTCACGGGAAAACTATCTGGAATCGCATTCAAGGCAGATGCACTAGGAGAATCGATCGATGAACCAAGGATGGTGAAGAAATTCCTGAAATCGCTACCAAGGGCAAAATTCATCCATATTGTCGCCTCTTTGGAACAGGTACTGGATTTGAAATCGGTAGGGTTTGAAGACGTAGTGGGTCGATTGAAGGCCTACGAGGAAAGAATAAGGGAAGAGGATGCCGATGAGAATGATCAATCGAGGGTGCTATTTGTGAAATCGACGTCGGAAGGATGTGGCTCGTCGTCTGGTGGGGGTAACTCGTCGGGAACGAAGGGAAAATGGAAAGGATCAAATGGGTCATCCGGGTTAAATCAAGCGAATGGGTCACATGGGTCACACGGGTCGACCAAAACCAAATCAGCCCAAGGACAAAAACCCAATAACAATTCTGATTTATCTCAACCCAATTCCAACAATTGCAAAAATTGTTGTTGTTGTGACAAAAACCGGAAAAATAGGGAAAAAGACCGATCTAAGGTGATTTGTTTCGGTGTGACAAACCGGGTCACTTTGCCTCTGAATGTCCGGAATGACTCCAAAAATTACAAGAATGTGATTTTTCGGAACGTGACGACAACGACGAGACCGTATTTTAAATACGGATCGGGGTTGAAGAATTCTCTAAAAGGACTTAGAGATTCGGGGGTGATTGTTGGAATCCTAAGTCGAGTAGGACTTGGAGACCAAGTTATAACGGGACTTTAGCAAGTTGGTTTTAGAGTCCTAATACAATTCTAATTACAAGTCGGTAGATTAGAATCTATATATACATCTTGTTTAGCTGTGTAGGGTTAAGAGAGTGTATTCACAAATTGAGTTTTGAGTTATTTTCTCATTTAATCAAAGAGATAGTTTGATTAATTGTTTGTGTTATTCATTCTTGACTTGACCAAATACAGTTTTCAATGTTCTCTCTTTCCTCTTTTGTTTAAACAATATGTTATAAATATAAAATAATATAAAAAATTGTTTATTAAAAATTCGTAGAACACATGACTACGCGATCTATATAACTAAACAAGTAAAAGGATTAGTTAGAAAAACTTCAAAGTTACGGTTGGTATTTGTAAAGGGAAGTGCATGTGTACTACATTCGTAGTACAAGGTATGTGTTGAAGTTTTATTTTCATTAGATCCCAACTACCATCTCACGGTTAGGTAGATTTGGTAGTCTTTCCCACAGTTTCTTTTTAACAGACGTCCTCTTTTTTGGATAATATAAAAAAATGTATTCATAACATGTGACTTTTTTATTTTAATTATAATGACATGTGGTAAGTTAATTGGTTTTTATGTTATGCTTTTGTCCACGGATGATGTCTACGTGGACATATAGTTGTTGTGGCTTAGGCAGACAAACATTAGGGCTGGGCAACTGCCCCACCAAATTAATAACCATTGTTAGAATTTTTATAACTTTTATTGATAAGTTTCCAATTGTCCTTTTAAAAATTATAAAGATAGAAATAAAACCTTTAAACTTAAAGTTTATACTTCTTAAGACTCTTATAATTTCCATCAAACCTACAAGAATGCAATATCGGTCCATATTAAAAACGTGAATCTACATAAATTCATTTGTACATTTTAATTTATATACTATAAATATCTAAATTATATATTGATAGAAATGTCCTTTATTATAATTTAGAGAGAGAAATCCCTTGAATTTTGTTTCCAAATAACACACGTCACTCCTTCGGTCTTCGTTATTTGTTCTTCCTTCTCCACTTCTTCAAATTTTGCCATTAAATAGATTATTACGATCGCAAAAATATCAGACGATTTCCCTCCAAATGGCAAAACAAAATCCTCTTCAAACTGATTACTATAAACAAGGGACGTACTAAATTATATATACTTCATCTCCTTTCAATCGATTAAACCATGGTTTTAATCGATTAATCTGCATCGATAGTGTGAAAATCAAGTCTATTTTAATCATAGTTCAAATCAACTGTAAGGATAGTTTTTTTGTTGTGTGAGATTTCTTCATTTATTTATTTGTGCAATTTCTTTATGTTTTTTGGGTATACAGTTTTTTCATGTGTTTTTTTCCTCGTGCGCTTTCTTCCACCATGCATTTGTGTATGTTTCCTGTCTAGTACGTGGTTATATTCTTCTCATGCCTTTTGTTCTATTGAATTTTGTTGGTGATTTTATCACTAAATATATTTTAGTGTAATGGACTTAACAAGTGTTTCAAGAATAATCTTTTAGTTATAATACAAGTTAGGGGGTGCGGGAGTACACACTTGTATTTACTAAACATTATTAGCACTGAACCCTAATCTACTTGTATTTACTAAACAAGGACTAAATTGTCATTCTTGAAAGATGGAAACTGTTTTTCATTTATCCGTTGTTTGGATAAGTTAGGGAAAAACGACATATAGTTTTTTGAAACACATAGAAAACGTGGGACGTTTCTTCTTCATCTTCATCTTATCAAAATTGATTCTGATTTTGTGCCTAAAATCAGAATTGTTGCTTCAGGAATTATCTCAGTTTGGATTTCGTGATACCTAAGGCATAAAGGGTCGAAATATCAAACAAGGAAAGTGTTTACACGATTCCTGTTTGTGATCCATATTTCCCATAACCCTATTTCGAAATTCCCCAACAAATTTAACAAATGAATACAAGAAAACAATTGTTTTTTCTTGTTCGTTTTTGGATGGATCACTAGGATCCTTAAGAAGCATTATAATCAGATTGGAGAGTATTGATGATCTGGTGGAGTTTCGGTGGTTTAAATGTGTTCCTTAAAAAAGTACTTGGTATGTGGATGTATAGATGAATTACATTCATTGTTTTCACCAAAATACTTGGTATATGGATGTACATTTTGTATCAAATTTGATTTACTTTCATCATTAAAAAGTGACATATACATTTCAATAGAAGTATAACTAAAATAATGTATTTATTTATTATTAGATATTAAAAATCAAACAAATGTAATAGTTGTTTCAACAAAAATAGATTATAAAAAAGAAAGATTTGAGGTTAACAATTATTATGCATTGCAAAAAAAAAATACATATATTTTAGCCTACTGACAAAAAACTACCATTGATATTTCTTTTGCAGTTTAACCATCGAAACTTGTTATTGTATGTGTTTACTTGAAAAATGAGTTCAACTATAAATAATAGCCGGTTTCAATGGTTAAATTGTAATAAATAAATAAATAACAAAAATGAGGGATAATTTTTTTATCAACGGAACCAAAATATAGGGATTTTTATGCAGTTTTTCTTTACTATATTCAAAATGTCTTACAAATTTAATTAGATTACTCAGCTTTCCTAAAGTATAACTATTCTAATTAGTTTTGTTAAGAAAAATCATTTGAGATAATCGACATGTGGATTAGGGCGCTCTCTACGATTTGGGGGTTACATTTCGAGCCGGGTAAATTACACGAATAGTCTCTATGGTTATCTGCGTGTTTGATCCCTAACAACTTTTTTTAACTCGGACGGTCCTTAAAATATATTTTTGTTACGCGTTTGGTCCTTGTCCGAGATAAAATGACTATACTGCCCTTAATAATTTATTTTCTAATTTTTCTAAGTTTTCGAATTTATTTGTTTTATTATATAAATAACATAAATAGATTAAAACAAATTATAAAAAGAAAAAAAAAATTTAAACCTAAAGCAACCCATCTTCAATTCTTCAGGGGTGTTTGGCTTGTCTTTTTGAGAGACAAAAATCCTTTTTGGAAAAAATAAAGAAAAAGTTATTTTTGGATTTTAGATAGAAAATTGACTTTTTGGAAAAGTTAGGAAAACTGATTTTTTGTAACTTTTCCAAAAAGACTTTCAGTCTCTCAAAAAAGAAGGCAAACACCCCCTTCATCCCTGCATCTTTTCTCTCCCACGCCGACTCCACCGACAACCAACCTCACACCTTGCCGGAGATACCATCGTTGATTCTGCATCCGTCTTCTCTTGCCGGAAAACTTCAACGACAACCAGCCACCGCCACCTATCTACTCCACATCCTTCTAACGCACCTACAGCCCTCCAACCTCGTGAAGTACCGGTGATGTTGGTCGATCCAACCATCGCCGGAAACAATGGAGTCCACAGAGCTACATTTATAATCGGAAATGAGGGTGTCATCTGTGAAACTTCCTTCCAGGTAACATCATATGAATAAAAAAACAAATTCCAATCCTTTCTTCTACTCCTCTCCGATTCTCTTTCTGTTGTTACTGGTTCTCTCATTTTCTCAGGTCTCTTGTGTGAGTTGTGTTTGTATTAACTGTACATGACGTGTGATCGATGTTGTATTGATTATATAGGATACTATAATCTGGATATAACTTTGTGATTGGTGCTGAAAAAATGGAGTCCAGTTGCACAAGAGCTGTTTGATGAAATGCTTAAAAGAGATGTTTTATGATGCCCAAAATTGCCGACATAGTTATCACCTGTAATTCATCTCTATGCATAAACTGAGTCTTCAGATTATCAAATTGAGTCCTTTAAATCTTTGTTTTTTTAATTTGCAGGTCTTTAATGATCTAATCGGTGGTTATGGGTTAAAATGTTTACTCACTTGAAACTAGTAATTTGAATCCTTTAATGATTTAATTTTGGAGTGACAACAGTTGTTCCACTGGAACAATCATCTCTGTTTTCTTTGGCTCTACATACCATGAATCGTCAGAGGCGGAGGGTTGCCGGGGAAAGAAGGATGTGATATGAGGATGTCGATGTTAGAGCAGGAAAGAGATTGGGTGGGGATCAGTTTACCGATGACGGGAGTATTATGGTGGTGAAGAGTTGCCGGCGGAGAAGAAAAGAAGATGAGGAAGATCTCGCGGGACGTAGGATTGGGGTTTTCACAGGGGCGGTATAGGAACGAGGTGAATGTGTAAATAGGGTGGGACCATAAATTTAATTATTATTTTTTTTAATAAATGAAAAAACTAAAAAATCTATAAGGGCAAAATAGTCTTTTTAGGACAGATAGGGACCAAGCTTGCAACAAAAATATAAAATAGGGACGACCCGAGTTAAAAAAAATTGTTAGGGACCAAACACGTAGATTGATTGTGTGATTTATTTTGTTTTTTATTTTTATTTTTATTTTAGTGAGAAAAAATTGTTAGAGACCGCTAATGAACACAGTTAACAGTTTAATATAATTCTTCCAATACAAAACTTACGACATTGTGCATGTAATCCAATAGTACAAAGTTATTATTATTATTTTTTTATAGAATCAGCATTGGGAACGCCAAATTAGTATCTTAATTCTTAAACATCGTAAAGACGAAAGCCGTCCTAGATTTGTTTTGCTTTAAGATTGAAAAATATGGAATTATGTTAAAGTGACTAATTTGTCCTTAGCAATGGTTTACTAATATATCCTTTTCAATGTTTCTTTTTATTATCACATAGAAATAGCAATATATTTAATTTTGTTTTTGGAAAATATGAAATTTCACTGTTCAATCGGGGTCTTATTACAATCAAAAGTAAAAAAACACAATGTTGCAGTGATAAGTAAAAGTTTTGGGTTATATTTTAAAAATATAGATTCTGTTGTGGATAGTTTTTTTTTTTTTTTTTTTTTTTTTTTTTTTTTTTTTATGTTATAAATTTTTTTTATGCACATTAACGGTATTTTTCATGTAGTCGGCATCCTATCCTATATGAAAAATAAAAGACATAAAAACTTGTTACTAGTATTATGTATCATATGATCATAAATCAAATCAATCCACTAAGTAATAACAAATTAATAAAATATACAATCCTACTAGAAGGTTGAAACTTTCGTCCAAGGGAACGGAAACCGTAAGTCAACGAAACGGTCGTGATGGCTGACGACTAACCACCGTCACCAAACCCCCAACACCCATCGAAAACGTGTTTTCCCCTTTCTCTATTTAAATATCATCCACCACCCTTCCCTTCATTTCACCCATACCCTCGAATCAATCTGTTTATCCCTTTTCAAAGTCAAATCCTTTTCTCAGATTTCTTTCAAATTCATCTAACCATGTCTCAGGTATATGTAATTTTATTGTCAATGATATTATTAGGGTTACGCGATTGAGCTGTTTTTATCCATGTTCCTTTGATGTTTTTTATTATTACGTTATCTGATTTCTAATTTTCATGCTCCGATCGTTTTGATTTGATCTTGTATTGGATTTTCCATTATGATCAAGGTTAACTTTTGTTTCGATCGGTCTTAAACCACTCTTAAATTTCTGTTTATGTTATCGAGGTTTAGAGTTGGATTATTATTCAATTTTCATGGAATCAGGTAAAAATAATCTTGCTATTAGTAATTGTTTTGTAGAACAATTAGATGCTAATTTCTGGATCTTTATTTATGTTGTTTTTGGAGCTTTCCAATAGAACAAGTCTCACAGACTTATGATCATGATAATATCATTCAAAATTGACCTTTGGTTGTAAACTGTCATCACTCAATCTTGATCCCTGTCAAACTTAAGTTGATCATTTTGCCATATGGTTAAACAATCATACATATGTCGATTAGAAGCAACCCATCTTTTTGCCAATTGGTTTTAAACAGCTCAAATGATCTTTTACATTGTTAAATAAAATAATTTTTGTATTATGTATACAATTTCTTTAACAAACAACTTACAAATCTATTTTAATGGGAATGCAGACTGTTGTTCTTAAGGTTGGCATGTCATGTGGTGGCTGTGTTGGGGCTGTGAAGAGGGTTCTTGGCAAAATGGAAGGTTTGTTCTATAAATAACAATCAAGATTTGAAATTTCTAATTCAAGATTCCAAATCAGATTCTAATTTTGTTATAAAATTATAATTCAGGGGTGGAAACTTTTGACATTGATCTTGAGCAACAAAAGGTGACAGTGAAGGGTAATGTGCAGCCAGATGCAGTTCTACAGACTGTTTCCAAAACAGGGAAGAAAACCGAATTCTGGCCAGTTGAAGCAGCATCTGCTGTTGCTTAATCTACAAGTAGTAATGGTTTCTGGAACTTGATATTAAATTCTGTAGTTTGTTTTTATGTGTGTTTGTTCTAATGTAAAGCTAAAACTATTATGTCGCTATAACATTTGGTATTTTGAACTTGAGAATAAATGCACAGCATAATTCTTGTGTTGTGATATCTCAGATAAGTTTGGTTTCATCTTTATTCTCTATGTGTTTGAGTTCAATTGGAAATTTTATTAATCAACAATGTTGGATGCTGGATTTGGGAGCTTCATGTCATATACACCAATTGGCAGAGACCACTAGGGCCTAAAGGAACATTCTAATATATCCAAAACAAATGACCCAAGGAATTTGAACATTTGAATATTTGATCAAAGACCTCAAAGTGAAGAAAGAAAACACACAAAAGGATAGATCATCTTCATCAATTGTTATCAATAAATATGTGAAGAATCACTTTGAGTTTCAATCGGCAAGACGATACAATCAACACTAGAAGGTGTTGGATTCAGGATCTTTGTGTCATTTAACATCAATATTTTGGGATCTTTTGCATGACTAAAAAAGGAAAGTAACACTACCGTTTTGGCAAATAATTATTGTGAGTGCGAATAAAAGACGTGAAGAAGACGAAGATGCTGATGAACAAGATAGATGGTTAGAAGATGGAAAAGCCATCCCATGAATCCAATACTCTTGTGCATATTTGTATTGGGCAAAAATAAGGAAACAAATATACCACTAGAATATCTAGTGGGCAGTTGCTAATATAGGCCCCTCAACAATACATAGATACAATTTATAAATGACACCCCCTCATACTCAAGGAGGATTGTAAACAACGAGCTTGAGTTTGTGAAAAAAAGACTCTAGAGTCTCGGCATTATTGGAGACCTAAAGAAGGCGAACCAGGTGACCAACAATGTATTGGGAAATGAAATGACAATCGATCTCAACATATTTTGTATGTTTATGAAAACATCATTATGGGCAATATGTATGGCATTATGGTTGTTACACCAAACAAAGACAACAATAGGAGATGACTAAGGAGTAAGGATACAAGGAGTGGTCCATAAGGTCTTTACTCAAAAAGTGTCACCTCAGCATCATATCAGTTTTACTAGTATTTATTCACATAGAAAATACCTACCACTCCACATCATCTATATAATTTATTTTTTTATTTATTTTAACTACATAATTGTAATAAAAACACAACATTTTCTTTAAAACAGGATAATCTTTTAATTACATAATTTTAATAAAAACACAACTTTTTTTTTAAACAATATAATTTTTAATTACATAATTTTAATAAAAACATTAACCTTTATTCTTTTAAAACACGAAATTTCTCATTAAACAAAATAAAAATTACATTAATAACCTAAATACAATAAAAAAAACGTTATGCTAAAATTAAAAATTACATTAAAACGTACAAATTGGAAACCTAAATGTGCTCCGTCAAATCTTGACAAAGATTGTTGTGCGTTTCTGAGTTTTATATCTCCAAAATTCTTGTGTAGTATTCCAAGCTACCAACTTGTATTTGTGCAGGTGAATGAAATACATCATCCAGGTTATACATACATATAGTCTGACCCTTATCTTCGAGTACCATATTATGCAAAATGACACAAACAATCAACAGACCCGGTCTTACCTTATGACAACATAAGCAAGGGCTTAGGGCCCCAACTCTAAAGGGCCCCAATTTCTAGTAGAGATTGTTAGTTTGTTAGGCAGTACAAACGGACGCCGCAATCAACGAGTTGCGACTAGCAACGCTGCGATGATTCGATTTCATTGTGCTTCTTCCTTCTCGTCTTGACGTCTTCTCCTCCCATCCCTCCAATATCGATTCTTGAAAACGGATTAATTGAAAGATCTGAAACGCTGCCAACAACTTATCGATTCTTCCGTCTCGGTCCATTCTCTTATTCTAGATTGAGATTTGACGATTCACGATTGTCGATTGTAAGAAGTAAGAACAACAATATTTTATCTTTTCAGTTTTTATGTTTCAAATATACTGTCTTTAGGAGTATAATACAGCATCATTGTATCCAATATAGATGATTGACTAATTGTTGTATCAAGAAAATAATAATATTTTAAAATAAATGTTGAAGAAAATCTGATTTTAGAATCTGAGATCTCTGATTCTCTGTAATCCGTATACATATATGATATATGAATATGGATATACCAGTTTGAAATTAGAGAATTTGTTGATAGATTTCTAAATGTTTCAGTGATATTACAGAATTAGAGAATTTGTTTAAAATTTTGAGTTTTCCATTTGACTCACTGTGTCAAGCAAGCAGGAGGTATTTCCTTTAATCCATAATTCATTATTTCCAGTTTATTGTTTGTTCATTTGTAGTTGTTCAATACTTCTTGTTTACTATTTGTTTGTTTGTTCATTTGCTTATTTCTATTTGTTTTGGTGATTGTTATTAGAAAAGACCAAAGGGCCCCAATTTTTTAGTTCGCTTAGAGCCTCAAACTGGTTGAGTCGTCCCTGACAATCAATATATTATTTATTTTTCCCCTATCATGTGATCGTATCGGGTGTTTTATATAGTGTCATTTCTTCTTGAGCACACCAAAAGCTTGTTCAACATCCTTCATTATCGATTATTGTGCTAACTTGAACAATTTCTTTTTTTTTCATCTTATGGATATGTGTATGATTTGACAAATGTAGCATACTCTGGATATATCCATCTCCAAGGTAATACTCAAACTTGTATTCATTTCCATTCACAACATATGGAAAATCATGTGATTTTCCCTACAAAATTTCATTGAATTTCGGCGACGCATATAGTACATTCAGGTCAAGTGACCTTGCCATGCCAAAGAAAGCATGCCAAAACCATAGATCGTTTGTCACTATTGCTTTTAGCATTATAGTCGGCACTCCATGACCACCCCTTGTGAATTGACATCGTCATGTATTCGGACAATTTTCCCACTCCAAATGTGTACAATCAATGCTACCAAACATTCCTAGGAAACTGTGTGTACTTTCATGTGCAACATACAACTATCCAACGTCACTTCTCATAGGCGTCTACAAATATATTTTCACTGTATAGGTCTAAAATACACCCACTAAAGTTGTATACACATTCTTGGATGGTTCTTTCAAACAACTTCAAACAATCATCTTCTACATCGGCAGCTTTCCCATATGCCAAAATCCTAACTACCGCAATACACTTTTGTATAGGACTAAAACCTAGTCTACCTCTAGCATCGTATCTGATGGGTTTTGAACAATCTAACACTCCTATGGTGTACATGCAACCCTATAAACCTTGGATTTATGTTTTCTCTAATATTCATGCAAATAAGAAATTTCCAAGGTTTACATCCTAACTAGCATAGCATGGGGTACTTGTAATATAAAAACTAGTAGAATGACATACCTTTTGTAGTTGCTTGGATTCCTTAAGACCTTGTGAGCCTAGCACCTCAAATGTGATGCCTCAAATGTTTCACACAACACCATAACTCTTGGAATAACTTGAGAGAAGAACACTTTCACTCAAAATCGGCTAGCCCTCTTATTCTTGTCTTAGTGACCGATTTTGCTCCTTATGAGGTTGCTTATATAGTGTGCCACATTTAGGGTTATATAATGTAAACCCTAATGTGCATGGCTTTTCATTTCCCCCATGATCCATGGGTTTCAACCTTCATGGAGCATCCATGGAGCACCCAATGGGTCCTAGTCCAATCTAGTGAATCGTGGACCATAAGCCCACTATATAAGAATGAATGATTTACAAATCAATCCCCATATATTTAATTAGTCTCTTTTTGATCACAGAATTAATTCCAAATTAATTCTTGATCAATACTAATTAAATAATATGATTTCATATTAATATATTAGAACTTATAATATATTAACAAATCATAAGTGTCCTTATTCTCATTTTGTCTATCCAACAGTTGAGATGAAGATGCAACCCAAATGGACCATGCCAAATCGGGTCATGTACATACTAAATATAGTTATGGACTTAGACACCTTATCCAACAGTCTCCCACGTTGATAAGTCTAATAACTATATGTATTACTTCAAGAACCGACCAGCAATCGTAGCTCTTTCAAAGTCTCGCGGAACTATGATGATGATGCGCCATTTAAGATAAGTGATCATATAATCATCTGTTCTAGATATTAGCCGGACAAATACATGGAACAATGTCGTACTTATTGTCCAGCAGTTTGTTTCCCGATTTCCGATTTGTTTGACATAGAACTAAACTGAACACATCAATTTGGTTCTGACCGGGCCCGGTACATAGGTCAAAACAAAATCATAGATGGGCCTAGATATCGCTTCTAATCCTCCAAGGACTAGAAGGAACATATAAACTTCAACTCATATGCTTGTTCTACTACTTGTTGAATTATACACAAAGGTACGTTTTATATCATCGAGTTACCGATGCGTTTTCGTACAATCAATGCACAACCAACTCATAATCAACAACTCATATCTCTAGGTTTGAAGACTTATATGATATTATCGTCTCACGATCACTCGAGATAAATTCCATGAAGTGATACAAGTGAGTGTGGGTTGAATCCAATACTCAGAACTTATGAGCACTCATGAATGTTGTAGCAACCATTTGCTATGTCTAGCACCTTAGACATCTACAAACCCAATCATGACAGTCTTGATTCATATCTACTTCCAACATATGACTGACTATGGAGAGTTTGAATAATCTAGTTATTCGGGAAGTCAAAACATGCAAAGTGAAACACAATAATAATACTAATCCTATATGGCCCCAAGCACCTTTGAGAGTAAATAAAACATCTTTTATTTAAACACCATATTGATTACACATTATTCATTGTATAATGTTTCGATTTATCAACCTAATACTTGAATTAAAACAATAGTCATGCCATGCTCCAAGCATGCACACTATGTTTGTCCAAACAATAGTTCTGCCATACTCCAAGTATGCACACTATGTTTGTCCAAACAATAGTTATGCCATACTTTAAGTGTGCACACTATGTTTTTCTATGATCCTTACTTTGTGAAATAGACCACTTGAACATGATTCCAATGATGCTCATTTCACAATCCAAATCCTTATCGTAAATGTAAGAATTCCAAATTCCTACCATTTACCGAAATTTGTTAGATTCTAAACTTATATGCATTGTGTGACATCCCCAAAATCACGGCCAGAAAAGACCGGTTTCATTTATGCTTTTAAAATAATTTCAGAGTAAATCCATTGATTTAAAAGAGTTGCGGAAATTTGTCCCCAAAACAAAACATGATAAAATAAAGTTTATCAAAGCATTTCTTAAAGAAATGTATTTTCATTATATATCAAAACTCGGGATGTCATGTTTCGATACAGACCAAAAGCATAAACAATACAATATAGACCTTACAACGGTTACATATAACTACTGGTCTATAATCCAAAAATATCTTAACAATGTCATCCAACTTATGCTCTCGCACCACTACCTGTAATACAAAGAAACTGAGTGGGTCAGGCTTGGGAGCCTGGTGAGCATATAGGGTTTTCAACCCAAAATAAATAAATATATTTAGTTCATCAACCAACAATAACCCGATTACCCATTCCCATTATCCTCACTTTATGTCCCTAAAACAACAACTATTACAAGGGACCTAATCTAGGATTTTCATCAGGACAGACATTACTGCAAAGGGGTTTCCTTAACAATAGATGTCCTAAAGGCAACCATGAGGGGGATGGAGTACAACAAATGAACACCCAAGTTCATTAACACCTACAGGTAATGAGCCTGCTAGCTTTCCACTAGACTGTCTAGAAAAGTCCGTGGTCGTCATCTAAACTCCGCTAGATGACTGAATCAACAACAACAACGAGGCCTCTCATCATTTTATTTTATCACACACCAACTGTCTACCCATGTTCTACCCAACATATTAGTAGATAA